TATTATTATTATTAAAACCGCGTAAATAAAATCTGCAACTATGTAAGTGTATGCGTATAAATAGTCGTATATATATATATATATATGTATATATATATATATATTGTCTTCGTCATTATCCCCGCATATAATATATATAGAAATATATACATAAATATAGAGATTTATTTGTATATATATATATACACACATGAAACCAATATATCCTATATATACATATATAAAATACTATATTAAATATATTAAAATGTAATTAAATATTTCATAATGTAGATCACAATTAAATATTTAGAATTGTATAAAAATAATGAATATTCCCTTATATTATATTATACTATACATGCATATTAATACGTGATTACATCCGTATAAATATATATAATATTCAATATTAGATATTATATTATAAAAGTTCCAATGGTTTGCAATGTAAGGGCCATTGGCTTGCATCTACTTTTCCAACTTTCGATATGATATTAGGAAATTCTAAATTATTAAATAGTCAAAATTGCATTAAACATTCGCAACACACCCCTATAACATTATTTATATTATTTTGTGTATTTTAGCTTTACTTTTTTATAATTTATTTTTTATATTCTATATGTGCTAAGTGTATTTGTGCTTACACACACCCAACACACACAAACAATCTATTATCATCAGTTTAGTAAAATATAATATAAAAAAATAACAGTATGTCTGTTACTTATAACTGATTGGTTCACGTATTTACTATCGACATATTTTGCAAGTTTACATGAATCCTCTGTTATGATCAAGTTACTATCTAACACCCAGTCCTAATAATCCTCAAGTCACTGTGCACAATTAACTTGTTTATATTTAATTGAGGCACTGAACTAATTAATTATAACCTTCTGCAACTTTCCATTCCTTGCCCCCAAAATAGACTACTGTGTTAAGGAAGTCACATGATCATAGACTATTTATTCTACCAAGAGATGGAATGAGCTTTAGTTGATAAAAAAAAAAAACAAAGTTTTAAAAAACAATTCTAATAAAAGTTTTCAGTTAAAAACAAATAAATGTTTTTTTTCTCTTCAAATCAGTGATTGGCCTGTTTATGTCCCCTTAGGCATCCATTATTTCCTATTGCTTGGTGATACAGTTGCCTAATGGGACTGTTAAACCTAAAATGACCTAATTTTATAAACTACGAAGTATACTTATATGTATCCATGCATCAAAACTACAATCATTGTATCACAGTCTGACAGAGTGTGAAAACATCCGAATAGCTATGTATTTTTAAAAGACCGCTTACAAGTTATTATCATTTTCGTTCAATTTATATTATTTTTCTGGTTACGAATCTGGGTGCATGATCCAGTTGGTTACTGGCCATTCTGGATTTAAAGGGTTAAATAGTAATGCACTGCGTAGGCTGTGGACAATACCATAGAATGTTGTTGTATAAACATGAACATAGCCTGCTATTTGACAGATCTGTACCCCTTGCCGTACTGTACACGGACCTTTGCTGTCATACACGTAACAGTAATTAAATATAATAATGAGCAGGGTAGCTTGTATTGATTACTTTCTTAAGACGGGCTCACAGATCTAGTTACAGCAGAGGAAAAAAATATAAATAGTTATTTTTCTAGATTAAAAAAACGTGACAGCATTTTAAGTAATGAGTGTACTACATGCTGTGCACGTTTTCCTGTCCAAGCTTCAGAAAATATGTGCTTCCTATATCACTATACTATGTTTTTTTTTTTTTAAATGAGTATTATTACATAATAGACCTTTCAGCACTTTACCTGACTTGCACCTGTCGATACATTATAGCTGTCAGTCTAAATATACAGTAACGATCTGCAAATTCTTTTACTGTTAGGAATGTAACCAATGGATGTACAGTACAAAGTGAATGGTTTTATACTATTTATCAAGATGTGTTGTTGGTATGTATGGGACATTAGAAACAATATCCTATCATATAAAATCACAAACTGTATATCATAAGCAGCAAAATGGAAAAAATTGATTATTAGGTCTAAATCTCAATTTTGATCGCGATTATCAATTTGTTTATCTTTCTGTCTATCTAGTCATATTTTTATATGTCTATAGGTCTGTAGATTAGTTATGTGTAAACGTATATGTGGCTTTCATATTTTTTGATATATGTGAATATAAATACATGTTTATCTGTGTTTATTTAATATTATTTAGAATTAATATGTGTATTATATTGTAGTTTGCTGGTTTTACTTCGCACTCATCAACAAAATATTTTGGCAAACTTTGCTAATTTTCTAACTAATTTTCATCGCAAATATATATATATTAGGAAATTTGACATCAACAGTCAGATATTGTTTTAAAGGCAATTTAAATTAACCATATGTATCATTAAAGGAGACATGTTTTAAAAGATGGGGATTGCTAAATCATACACTACTTAAGATTCAAAAATGGAAGCTTTGTTGATATACTTGTATTGTCTTGTTTTTGGATACATGTATTAAAATACACTGCTCAGGCATTAAAATATAGAATATACATTTAGGCATTCATTGGAGAACACAGAGAAATGTATTATGAAATTCTACGGAGTGAGATTCAGTTTCTGAATTTTTAAAATATAAGGCATTAGTGAATCTAAATATCCTTAATAATGTAATCAGAAATTGTGGATTAGTAACGTAAAAAAACATCTGTTGGTTTTGTATCGTAAACAAAAGTTTGAAAATGTTATATCTTCATGCCGTGCCTTTAATTACATCCGCAGGAATCTTTAAATGACTTATTTAACATGTAACAGTCCCTTTGACATTTTTTATTCTGATATAAAAACCCCCAAAAATATATCAAACATAGATTTTTAAGATAAAGACCTATTTTATTTAAGGCCAGATAAATATGATTGACTTTATGCAATTATTCTTTCAATGTGTGTTTTTTTTTTGCATGGCGTATGTACTGTTGGAGCAAATTGTATCTCAGTTACAGATTACTGAAGTGTCTACAGTTGCCTATGAGCGTAAATCGACTGGATGTTTATGAATTCTGGCAGACAAGGCCTCGGCCGTGCGCGTGTTGTTAAATGTTGAACAATAAAGTTATGGATCTCAACATATAAAAAAAAACAAAAAATCATGATTATCTATGGGGATTCCGGAATGTCAAACAACATAGCAAATAAAAAACATTGCACAAAAAAAAAGCAATGACAAACTTTATCAGGACACTTTATAAAGGAACACAGGATCTAAATATATCTAAGCCTAACGTATTATCTAAGCCTTTATCGTCTACCATCTAGCTGTGCTGTGAGCTGCAGGTTTTGCCTTTGTAGATACACACGATAAGTATTGTGAACGTACCAGTGTTACTTGTAAACAATGTGTTCCGAGGAATGTGTTTGTTTGGTGTTTCTTGTTCTACGGAAGTAGAAGCTGTCCTCGTTAGTGATGCCTTATACATATTTCATGTTTGCTATATGCACGTCTGCAGCTACACGTATCTATATTGAGCTTGACGTAGTAAGATCTCTGTGCCAGCTGTGAGGATGGAACAATAACATTCATTGTGCTTCGCTGGGGGGGAAGAATAGCCCTCAATTAATAGTTTATTTTAGGGCAAAACAGCGATAATTCCAGATAGACCCAACACTAGAACTACACTTATGCTTTGGACATTTCTACACCATCATAATCACATAACTTTCACATGAATACCATGACGGAGGCTTAGATGCACCTGCAGCTATGATGATGCATGTTACTGATACATAATTCTATTGGCTCTTTAATTAAACTGGCTGGTGCTTCATGTTAGGTTAACCGAGGGAAAAGAGAGGCCCCTCGGCACAGCTGAAAGGATAAGGTTGTATTATTTTGCTCACCCATTTTTCATATGTCTCCATCCATCTCTGTGCTCTTCCCGTGCCATCCCACTCTCTGCTTCCCCTGGTAAATCCGTACCTCTGACCAGGATCCGTCGACAGTAATCAGCTTCTCCTGCAGACTGGCTGTCCTGACCGTCTTCCTTGGACGAGCCCGGGCTGGAGGTGGAGGTCACAGGAATGTCCTTTAGACTGTGGCCTCGTAAGGAACACTCCAGTTCAGTCCTAGCTCCCTTGTCTCTGACTCGTTCTGAACAAGACGTGGCTGATTTGCCACACAGAGGGCTTCGTTCCTCGGACACTCCATCGCCCATACTAGTAGCTGGATCAAACATCAAGAGAACCCCCCCAACCCTTTAATCTGTCCCCTTTTGCCAACACCACTTCCAGAAAGAAAGAAAAATAAATAAATTTAAAAAAAAATGTGCAAACCACAATTCACAAAGGCAGCATAAGTCAACAGCCTAAAGCATGTAGGATAGCAGAGGTTCCAAACACGTATTCCACAAAAGGTTTCGCCATGGTTGCCATCATATACAAATGTAGGGTCCACTCTGCAACACGCGGCTTCTTTTTACAAGCATGCACGCCAAGTTTCTCTCAGATCAGAGTTTTCAAACATTACGTTTTAAAACATGTAAGCAATAAAGGCTGGCATGTATTCTGCACAAGACAGTTGCTTAGACATTTAAAAAAGCAAATTGCTAGGAAGGTTCTGATCTCGTCTTCCTTTTTCTTTTTGTCCAGTCAAGTATGAAGACATGTGAATGAAAGACAGAAGGCGTTGCAAGCTCCTGTGAGTTTTTTTTTTCTTAACAGTTCAAACTTTGACAATCCAAATATTCCTCTTCCAAAAACTTCTGTAGTCTTGATAAGCCCAATATGTACATGAGGACAATGTTCTGGAGACAGATCCTTGTTCTATCTAGCTAACAGCTCATACTGCTCAGAAGCCAGATTCTCGTTTAGGTTTTGTCAGACAGGTTGGACTTTGAAATATGATTGCATGGGTAAAAGATCAATACTACTTAAAAAAAATAATATATATATTTTGGAAGGAAAGAAGGAGGGCACGGAGGGATAGTGGGGGGGGGGGGGTTGTGGGAGGGAAAAGGGCGGAGGGGAATGCCAGATTTGCAAAGCTCGTCTATATGTCCATTTCCCCTCCTCTCTGTGCAGCTCTGCCTTTCCCAGATAAGCAAAGGGAATACCTTGAAACCACAGCTACATAAATGCATCTGTTGAGAAAGGAGGTAGGTAGGAGGTATTTTTAAATTGAGTGCTTACCCCAACGTAATTTCCTGCTTGTCAAATGCCTGCAATTGATTGGTAAACAAAGAATCTATTTAGTGGCAGTCACTTCAATATACATAGAAAGCAGGGGGAGTGGTGGATGCAACAGAACATGTTTGATAGTTCAAGGTGTTGTGTTACATTTTGCATTATTTTCATATTTTTTTTTCTTTTTCTTTATAGAAGTGACAGAAACAAACGGCTTTTCAATGTAATAATTTGTTTATCAGAAAGAAACGGTCAGAGAAATTTAGCGCAATATAAAAATGTATAATAAAAGGAGAGAGGGGGAGCAATATCTGTCAGAATTATTAAGATTTAATAAATGACATATAATTTAATGCATACAATCAATGGAGGGATAGTCTATAGAATTTTGGAGAAACTTTCTTTTTTTTCCGATTTGTTAATTTTCTTTTTTGCAACATTGCAAATTCAATTTAAAATTAGTTTGAAATTGAACTTCAGAAAAAATAGCATTACATTAAAATGTATGGATTATTGGAGTAGAATGTCATGCTAAGATTTTATTGCATCAGTTACGGACTATCCGTAAAAATTTATCAAGATAAAAGAGCGGACACATCTATTTATATGTAAAATAAACTATATGTAGGCAACTTGATTTCCAGAAAACAAGATTTAGTACGGTTTAGAGTAAAAATAGTAAAAAAAACTATATTTTGACATTTCAATCAAAGCAACAACGGTATTTTTATATGAATTATTGCCATTTGGAAATAAGCAAATTTAGGGATATATTTAAGGGATAAATATTTCCCCATATATATATATATATATATATATAATACACAATATAATAACAAACCCCCTCTTGTTTTATATATATATATATATATATATATATATAAAATAATATATATGTATGTATATGCCTAAATTTGCATGTGTGTGTGTGGGTGGTGTATACATATATATATACACACACACACACACATTTAAATTCCCATTTTATTTTAAATATTATTTATCATCAAAGAGAAGAAAAATAATCTAATCTTTGTGATTTAAAAAAAAAAAAAATTTTCACAGATAGAGCCCAGAAATGCAATTGTTCCTGTATTCCTACATGTTTTGATTCTCTGGAAGTTTAAAAGCAACTTGATCTCCAGGGGTTTGAATTATACAAAAGAGTTTAATTAAATAAACAGGATCTAAATGAATAAGTCTGTTAATTGGATACGCTTGTGTGACTCCCACTGCAGCCCAAGGATAAGAAACTATAACAGATATTGGTAGTTCATAAAAAGAATAAAAATACAAAATACTAAATACTTACATTTTATCATTGTATTACGTACTGCTTGTTATATGAAATTCACTCATTTTTTTTCATGTTATTAAGTGCGGTTTATAATTGCAAGCCACAATTTTGGAACTTTTAAGATTTAATTTTTCTGTTTTAGATTAACTCCAACATGGGACATACTTCCTAACTTGGAACTTGGAACTTTTAAAGGATTTTGGTTGTCTTTAATGAACTGATTGGAATCCGCAGAATGGACAGTTCACTCAAGAAAACTTATCTTAAAAGTTTAATTAAATCAAAATGGCTGAACATCGTGTGACTCTTTACTTAAAATCACGTCCTTACAACGTATCCTGTAAAATTGAATTTTTGAGCTCTGCACATATTTGTTTTTAATTATTTTAAGAAATTACAAAATTCAAGTAACAAAACTGCATTTAACTAAATAAAGTTTGATCACTAAAATAGATTTGGGATATGAATTCTGGGAATACCAAACTTCGATCCCACCCTTAAAGGAACATAAGTCTTTTTTTCTGAGCTGTTTCTTTGCTCTAAAACATTTTGCCATTACACTTTAAACTAATATATATAGCATTGACACAGCCTACAGTAATATCTTATAATTTTGTGTGGTTCATAAATAATTTTGAGTCTTAAAATTATCTTTACTTAATTGAAATCTTTCCTCACCCCGATGAGTGTAGTGATATTCTATGAATTGAAGAATTATTGTTGCTTTAAAAATATATATTTTGTAAGATAAATGTACATCAAACGTATAAAAAACGTTTTATTAGAATGTTTTAATACTATCTAGGGATTTAACTAGCATATTATTAACTGAGCAATACTGTTATTTAGTTAAAGTTATTTTTATATTTACTAAATTTTTCTAATATTAAACTAACAGAATAGAGAATAATATACTTAAACAAACCAGTATTTATTTTATTTTTTTATATAAGTACATATTTGCAGATTAGGTGTCTGTTTGATGTGATAGGTACCATGAAAGTTTATATTTGATTTTGTACGAAATACAGGTAATAGCCCGCAATGATGCAATTTTACTGGGTATTACCAGTGGATAAACAAATAGCACCAAAGGACACTACAGTATGAGTTACACAGTAATTGAATATGCACATTTTATATATGTCTATCTAGATCCCCTTATACTATTTTGTATTTATCAATCCTTCCAATTATCCATCCATCCCTTCCTTCATCCATTATCTATTATTCCCTGGGTAAATGTGATATATATTAAAATGCACAATAGATTAATAACATTTATTCACACCCAAATGATAGATAAATTATCACCTGAGTTGACTCTCTTATTTTTTTTATCTTCAATCCAAATCATTTGAGCTGTTAATATTTATTTAAATGTGGTATTGTTCTGCTACCTAAAACAACATTGTAAAAAAGGCTTAAATATTAGACTGGTTTACTGATTACATTTAGGTCCATTCTTCATTTTTTGTAGAGAATGAAAACTACATTATGTTACAGTTTTATAAAGAACAAGTCATATCTTAGAAGGTATAGACATTGGTCTGCTTAGATTTCTTGGTATAAGCTGCAATGGTTGTGTTTTAGACAGGAAATCAGACAGAAAACTATCCATAGTTGGTCTCTTGTGAAAAAATATTGAAAACATGCATTAAGAAATGTATGTGTGTGTGTGTGAATTTCAAGAAATTCACAAGTCTCCAAAATTAGCTTTAATTACTAATAGGAAAAAGTGGGAAATGTAAATTTTCCACTAAAAAGTATGCACATTCGTTTTTCAAAACAAATGTTTTTAGATTTTCTAAAAAAAAAAAAATTCTAGTCATCAATACTTACTGATATTACTTACTTACTGAAAAGTTAAAATTAAAAATAAATACATAATAAAAAATAATATATATCTATATATATATGCAAAGTTTCTAAGACTATAACACACTCACACACATATGTATAGACAGCCAGTTATAGCTAAAGATGTATGTATATAAAAACATGTATATATCTTTGGATATAACAGGCTATCGATATACATGTGTGTGTTATAGTTTTGGGAACTTTGCAGATAGTAGTTTTTCAGATATTTTAATTTTGATATGTGTATCAGTTATTATGCTCCTCTTCCACATCTTTTTATACATACATGTTTTTCAATATGCTTCATAAAAGCAAAGCTATTCCTTAAAATAAGTAGATAATTCCGGTTTATAAAAAGATATTAAAACAAGACATTAATCTTCTAGCGTGTTCTGGATAGAAAATGGTTTGCCAGTACAGATTAGATAATGTCACATGTTCAAAGAATACACTGAACAGTCATAGGTTGTCCTCACACACCAGGTGTTTCTAAAGTACATTTACCATGATGTTCACACAAGATTTAGATGCTAAAGATAGCCACCACTAATATAATAACACTTTCCTTATGCTGCCGTTTAATTTTCTTTTCGAATGTGGTTACTAAAGAATAACCCCCCCAAATATGAGAAAACTACACGAAGGAATTTTGTGATAGTCTGCAAAGAGGGAAACACAGATATTAGTTGCCTGATCATTTAAAATAATAGAACATTATCTTTCTGTATATCATAGTTTGATGTATTGCTAAAAAAAAAAAAAAAAAACCCTTTGGGCTTTCAGGGGTTAATTAATTGTGTCTGCTGTAAAATTTCTGCAGTTTTCATTTATCTGATGGAGATTAACAGGAGACATCAGAACATTTGTTTCCCAACTAAACTCTGAACTATATTTATATACGTGTATAAGCATCTTTATTAACTTGGCGTGTATTGAGTTCTTTCCTTTAATTTTTAAAAGTCAAAAGAAATCTAAAAAAAGAAATAATTAAAAAAATATAGTTCTTGAGCAATATCAATGTTCTACAGCTGTACAACAAGTTACCTGTAAAGACCTGTCTCCACTTAATGAATCTTTGTCCACATGACATTCAGGAAGAGAATTAATAACTGTGGACAATAGCATCATATGAAAACTTACCCACGCTCATGCCCAAGGCTTTTGCTTCTTAACGACTGCATTCACAGCCCCCACCAAGTCAAGCAAAGCTACATCACACATAGAGAGGCTCTCTATGGCATCAGTTTAAACAAAAATAATAAAAGTTAAGTATAAAAATATTGAGAGTTTAGCCCTTTAAGTCCAACATTCTAAACTCTAACACTCTAAAATAAGACCTTAAAAAAGTTAACTGTTGTGGATTTCAGCAGTCGTTTTCTTTGTCGCGGCTTTTGATTTAAGAATTTTCTGTAAATACTTTTCTTTTTACCCCCTTATGAAGGTTCTGTGACATTACTTTAATGCAAGTATTTGGCAATTTTTCTTATAAAGAAGAGACACTTTTTCCTTAAATGATGCTGATAGAATATACAATTAATGTAAAAAAAATATTATAATCAATCTTAGTATGCAAGGTACTTTTTAAAATGTATCTTATTCAATAAGACTTAAAAACGAAATAGCCAAAGTTGAGATTTGTAAAAGAGAAACTTCAGAGAATTCATTTTTCTGGCTGTGTAATTCTAGTCTTAATTTCACAAGTTGGATCACAACTTATAAACCATTTGTTTTGTGAAAAGACCCTCAGCTTTTCAACTTTAATATTTTTGTAATCCCTTGACTTCCAGTTAAATAGAAATGAATCAATTAGTAAATGTATTAATCAGGTAAAAAAAATATCACATAAAAATACTTTATATATATTGGATCCAGTAAATCGTGTATTGTAGCTGTATGTTTTTTATTATATAATGTTGTGATCTTTAAGTAAATTAAATCTTAATGATCTCTATAGGATGTTGCAATTACCCCTGCTATTCCACATATAGGTTTAAAGAATTTAAAACAAGATGCTAGAAAAGTCAGTGAGTCTAAATATGAAAAATATACATTTTATTGTTTGCGGAATACCATTTTATGGACAACTTATATCTATTTATAGCTTTGGAATTGTTAATATTAGGCTTGTTTGAGCAGGATCCTCTTCAACCGATCGTTCTTATAAGTTTTTTGTTATTGTCCTATTCATAATTAATTCCCTCCCCCCCTCCCTATAATATTGTAAAGCGCTATGGAATCTGTTGGCGCTATATGAATGGCAATAATAATAATTATTTCGATGGCACAGAGGGTGCAAGTCACGTTCAATTCTTCACCTTTCCACTAGAGACACTGTGCCTCCTGCGCGAGGATTTAAGATCACACATATGATGGGGTTAATTTATTAAACCCAAGATGTCAACAGAGGGTGGGAAAGAGATGTCCCTGGACTAAATACAGAATAGTATTTAGAATTACTGGAAAGTGGAGAAAATCTTGATTTTTCCATGTAAAGTAAAATTTATTTATTTTGTTTTTATATGACCAAATATTTACAGTACAGTGAGTTTTTATGCGTTGGTGAATTCGTAGTGGGAAGTGAGGGAAAAATATTCAGTAACATCCACAGAACTGGAATCACACCTTGCGTATCGGACACTTTTTTCACCAATTGCACTGACACAAAAAAAAGAATATTAATTCTGAAACATGTCCCTAAACTCATATTTTTATTCTGAATACCACAATCTAAAGTTAGATACATCGGAAGAATCTGTGATGGAAAAGCGAGGGTCAGGATTTCACTTTAAAATTAAAAACAAAACTAGCATTGTAATAGTAATAATTCACAATTTGGAAAGAACCTGCAAATCTATCTATCCATCCACCCATCCATCCACCCATCCATCCATCCATCCATCCATCCACCCACCCATCCATCCATCCATCCACCCACCTACTTATAACAATAATAACAAAGTATTGAACCAGGAAAGGTACATTCAGATTACTCTGGTTTCCAAGTACATCCTGTGGATGTTATTTTTGCCCAATATCTAGGGAAGGTTACTTATCTATCCATTCCTCCCTTCATCCATACGTCTACATATCCATCCACCCATTTATCCACCTAACTACTTATACATCCATTTCTCCATCCATCCACCTACCTACTTATCCATCCATTCACCAATCTATCCATTCATCCATCCCTCCATCCATCCACCTACCTACTTATCCATCCATTCACCAATCTATCCATTCATCCATCCCTCCATCCATTCACCTACCTTCCCATCTATCCATCCATTCATCCATCCACCAAACTATTCATCCATCCATCCATCCATCCATTCCTCCATTCCTCCATCCATCTATCCATCTACCTACCAACCTACCTACCTACCTACCTATCTAGCAGGTTTATCCTTAGTTGTATTTGGAAATGAAATGGTTGCCATTGGTAGACATACTGTGTTTTGACAACAGGTCACTCACATTTGCATCTGCAAGTAGAGAATTATTTTACACTTTGAAAGTTAAATTTATTTCAGCGGAAAACAGTACGAATGTTCCAATGACAACGGGCAATCTATGCCAAGCAGGGCATATAGATGATAAACCGGGCATGTTATCGATAATGGAATTATTATAGGCTAATGTTTTTCAACTATTCGATTGTAAGCTAGCTAAAGTGAAGCAAAATTAGGTTGTAGTGAAAGTAACAGCCACAACATTGCAAATAAAAACCCAAAACAAAACATATACATATTTTCTTCTTTTGTAAAAGCAAAGCCTGGCATCAAAATGCAGTTTGAAAATAAATCTTGCTTAGTTCTCTTCTGATTGGTACTGAAAGACCGTCTAGTACTAACTACACCTACATTCCTAACGCCCCCCTTCCAGTAACATTGATAAAGTAAAGGTCTTACTCGCCTTTTTATCTTACCGAGACTCCTTTGATACTGCTCACCTTTCCGAGATGAAGGGGTCTGGGTGCTGTTAGTGGTCCTTTAAAAAGGAATTGAGGCATACACATAGAACAGCACGCACTTTAAAAATATAATCTGCTACTATAAAAGATGTAAATATTTATTTGAAATAGCGATCAGCGGCATTTTATTTTTTTAAAAAGATTCAGACTGTGACACACCAGAGACAGTTTCGAAAACCAAAGTTTGTTTCTTTAGCGGTAACGTACATCTATAATCGGATCAAAACTGTTTGGACCATCCTCTGCCATATTTGAAACTATCTATAGCTCTGGTTGATAAGTTTAACATTTAAAAAAAAGTTATTTTATTTATGCTTTATTAAAAACTGAATGGAAGATTTCTTGGTAAACTGATTTCCTTTGGATACTATGTATAATCAGAAAGTTAAACAATTGTTCCTTTTTACCTGCACAGTGGAATGCTGGGAGCCAATCAGATGTTGACATCACATGTTTTGATTGGCTTCACTATTACATGCTGAGAGCAATAGTGATAAAGGGTTTAAAAGATTTAATGCAAGTTCCAGAAGCCTGCAGTGAACATCATAAAAGCCATATTATAAAATGTTATACCGCTGCATTTATTCATGCTAATTTCAGTCACGCCAATTTCAGTTACTAAAGCCATTTTATGTTGGGACGCTCAGCAAGGCAAGTAAAGGCATTTTCAGCTTCTAAAGGCAAACCCAGTTTATTTCTCTGGAGTCCAGTCAAGTCACCAGTATTACAGTCGTTTACAACAGTCTACAACGGTTCGTGGTGTGACGCTTCTCAGGATGGACACAGTCTGTTGTTAATGCAAAGAAAGCTATTTTTAAATAGAACCTTAGAAAACTAATCATTCTGTACCACAAACACTCCTAGAAATTTTAATGAATGGATGGATGGATGTTTGACTGGGTGGATGGATGGGTGGATGGATGATGGATGGGTGGGTGGGTGGTGGATGGATGGGTGGTGGGTGGGATGGATGGTGGTGGGTGGGTGGGTGGATGGATGGATGGGTGGGTGGGTGGGTGGATGGGTGGGTGGGTGGGTGGATGGGGGGATGGATGGATGGATGGGTGGATGGATGTTTGGGTGGATGGGTGGTTGGGTGGGTGGGTGCATGGATGTATAGGTGAATGGATGGAATGATGTTTGAGTGGATGGATGGATGGGTGGATGGATGTATGGATGGATGGGTGGATGGGTGGTTGGGTGGGTGGATGGATGTATAGGTGAATGGATGGATGGATGTTTGGGTGGTTGGGTGGGTGGATGGATGTTTGGGTGGATGGATGGGTGGTTGGGTGGATGGATGTTTGGGTGAATGGATGGATGTTTGGGTGGGTGGATGGATGTATGTTTCGGTGGATGGATGTTTGGGTGGATGTTTGGGTGGATGTTTGGGTGGATGGATGGGTGGTTGGGTGGATGGATGTTTGGGTGAATGGATGGATGTTTGGGTGAATGGATGGATGTTTGGGTGGGTGGATGGATGGATGTTTCGGTGGATGGATGTTTGGGTGGATGTTTGGGTGGGTGGATGGGTGGTTGGGTGGATGGATGTTTCGCTGGATGGATGTTTGGGTGGATGGATGGGTGGTTGGGTGGATGGATGGCAAGTGAAGTTGCTATACTGACATTATAACAGGAGCTATAACAGGCATACATAATTTATAGGGTTCTACAATAAATAAAAATATATTAGAGGTTGCTCTCTATACGTTCTAAATATAGAATCCACATAAATTGAATAAAGAACTGAATTCAAAACACAAAAGCAGCACGAAAAGTGGAATGTACTCAGTGCTTTGCAATATAATTTTACATGCTAGGAGCCGTTCATTATTCGCAAAGCTCTAAAACCATAAATTATTATTATTGTCACTGATATTGCGCCAACAAATTCTGCAGCGATTTATAATTATAAAGTAGTGATCTATAAGAGCAAGTAATTGACAAAAAATGTAAAAAAAAGGTGAAAAGGTCCTGTTTGTACAAGCTTGCAATCTAGGAGATAAACGTGTATTTCTGATCTACGACATCAAATTAGTGTCACATTTATCTACAATATGTATAGAATAAGAGTGTAACCCAATGTGAAACGCGAACATGAAATATATTCATACACACACAAACACAAGTACACGTTTAATAAATAGCAAAGTACATTAAAATAAAAAAAAACTAAAATGTTGTTGTTTTAAATATTGTATATGACATTGTGCAACTTAGTATTTTAATGTAATTAAAAATAGATTGTTTGATTTAATCTATTTTAAAAAATTTGAAAAAAAAATTAAACCTAAAGGAATGGCAAATAAATCTTGATACATACTAAAATAAAAACTATGACTTAGATTTACTTGTATCTGGCTGAAAAGTGATTTGTGAAGTCGATTATAAAATTAGTTAATAAAATAATATTTTTTAGTCATAATAAATACATATGCAGACATACATTAAAAAAATAAGTATTTTCAGATCTGATTTGCCTTTATTTTATTTAAAATTGTAAAAATCAGAGGAACAGATTGTAATTTATAAATATAAAATATATAGATGTTCACTAGGCAACAGGTGACAAAGCTCAGCAATTCAAATATATACAATTTAGTTATAAAAACACTAATATGAAAGATATATTTTTTTAAGCTTAGAATTAACAATTTATTCCATTCACACACAAGTGCTGTGTACTAATCCTTTTGATAAGCTGCAGTAAGTTCTCTGTAGAAGCAGTAAGTGTTTTGGCTCTCGTTGCTCTTAAAACCTTAAAAATTTACTTCACTAAGTCGTTGATGGTGTTTAGATAAAAGGGTGATTTATTTTATTTACATACAAAAGAGCCCAAGACTATATATTATTTATTGTTATTTAGTATATTTGAATTATTTAATAAATGCATATTTATTTTTAAGAACACTAAGAAAAATGAGGATTACAAGACCAGGACTACTGTGGGTTTAAACAGAGACTAACAACCGCTACATTTTCTGGAGAAAAAAAAAGGGAAGCAGGGAGGTACGTTTGCCTCTTCCCAATTTTATTGCTAATCAGAAGTGCCCATTATATTTGTCCTTTGACCTTTTTAACACAGAAATTGAAGAAGGTTTGTCCTAACAGACACCACATTGCCTCAAACTTTTACAAAGAGCAGAGCCCAGGGAAGAGATCTACACAGCAGGGTAGCTATTTAACCCACTAATGCCAAGAGATCAGCATAATTACGGGAGTCTTTTGGGAGGTGGATTAAATCCAAAGGAAATTGTTTTAACATTTTGAGTTCCCTTGTGACAAATTGGTTACTAATTTCTTCCACGTTAACCGTAGAGACAGCTACAGCAAAAAATACCCATGCATACAGGTTAAACTATTTTACACTTTCTAAACATGAATTAAAAAAAATATTTTTGGGGGGCGCCTAATTGATGGTTTTACAAAAATATTTTAAAATGATTACTGCTCTTTCTAAAATAAATAAATAATAATAAAATAAAATATATATATAGATATTTGTTAAGTAATCTATATTTTGCTGTTAGATCATGTTAACATCTATTTATATATTGTTAAGTCAATTATATATTTGGCCACAAAATCCAAAATATTTCTATAATTTTATATGTTTTTTTATTTTTAATAGAAATCGTCAAAAGTAAGATGAAAGGGAAGACACAAGCACCGAAAGACCCCCAACCCCTCATACAGCAATGACAATGGTTGGATTCTATTAATATTTTAAATAAACGACTAATAAACAATCTTATTCACAACAACTGAGACACAAATTGTAACATTGCTTGGTACACATTATTTATACAGAGATAATGTCTGCACTTTACTGAATGTTTTTTGCTGGTTAGTAGCTAGCGGTAGAATGCAGGTAGCAGTTATTACTCTTGGTCCACTTCTAGCAAACAGAAAACAATATTTAGTATCCATACATCAAGTACCCCATACATATTGGTCAGTGCTCCCTGAACATATAACATACAGCACTTTACAGCTGCATGTAATACCAAGCAGCACGCATATGATACCTATGTAACACACACACAACAACAACATAAATTGTCTCTGTTGTTTATAACACATATGCAGGTAAAGTCATATTACAATTGCCTATCACGTTTAAATTAGCTTGACTCCACCTTCCTCTGTTATTGGTGTCTCCAATTGTGTCCTGCCTTTTAACTATCATGGTACCAATTGTCCTCATATGCCCACCCTTGGGGTCTCAATTGTCTCTGTTTTGGACTCAAGTCTCCCTAGTAGTGAAAAGTTGACTCTTTTTGTGCCGTCACATACCCTGCCTCATACTAAAAATGGCACCTTACATCCTCTTTTTTGTAGAGTACCTTGTCTTTTCTCTGGACTCTCCTGTTGTAGTCCCAATCACTCCATGTGATGTAGTCTGAAATCTTTCTCTTGTAGCCACCCATGGCACCTTTGTGTCGACAAATATTGCTGCTTTGGCTCTCAGTGAAGCCAAGATGGCACTTTTTCAGTTTCCCTTTCCTCCTGTGATAGCAACAGCACTTCAGGTGCCTGACTGATCCTTCAGCACATATTTAACCCTGTCTTGGACTTCCCTGTGTACCTGATTATCCTTCTAGTAGTTTTCCCTGTCCCCATATGCAGGCCTGGTGGTGTGGTCCCTCTTGGAGCATCATGTGCACCCATAGTTAAAGTTCTTCCTGTTCTTTACTCCCATCATCTTCTTGTGCTCAAAATGATCCTTTACGTGTCCTGTACTGTCACTCTTTGTCCATGTAGATGTTCCTCTTGAGGTAGTCCATGGAATGTCATACTGAGCCCCTGGGATAAAAGAGGGGCAATGTTGTTAACAGGTCAAATCAAAGCATCAGAATTATGAGAATGTGAATCATATTAATGATATATTTCACATGCAGAGAGCATAACTGACTGTTCCTTTATTTATTCTCTCTTATGAAATTAAAGAGATGTTGTATAAAAAGATACACAGAGACACGCAAGGAATATTTTATCCAACTTCCACAAAATGAGTTACTCCAATAGTCATGTACCCTTCATAGAAACATAGAAACATAGAATGTGACGGCAGATAAAAACCATTCGGCCCATCTAGTCTGCCCAATTTTCTAAATACCTTCATTAGTCCCTGGCCTTATCTTATAGTTAGGATAGCCTTATGCCTATCTCACGCATGCTTAAACTCCTTTACTGTGTTAACCTCTACCACTTTAGCTGGAAGGCTATTCCATGAATCCACTACCCTCTCAGTAAAGTAATACTTCCTGATATTATTTTTAAACCTTTGTCCCTCTAATTTAAGACTATATCCTCTTGTTGTGGTAGTTTTTCTTCTTTTAAATATAGTCTCCTCCTTTACTGTGTTGATTCCCTTTATGTACTCACCATCCACTTATTCCACGATCATGAAAAACATCGCCAATTAAGCCTCAATAGATCTTAAGGGTAATTATCATTTATAATGTTAATTATGTAAAGTCAAAGTACTTGCCATCTAACCGAATCACTAGGTTCTGCTATTTAGTATGTTTATAATGTGGGTAGATAATTTAAGGAAGGTATTGCTAACACAATATTAACATAGTCTCACTGTGCCTGTTGAACAACATCTAATACATTTGGCAGAAAGCAACTTGATTACCATCAGAACAAATGAGATCATGGGAAAAGAATATAAATTGCTTTAAATCCATATATACTTTTTAAAACAATAAAATAAAAAATACAATTCTTTAAATGAAAGGGACACTGTAGTCACTACAACCATTTCATCTCATTGAATTGGTTATGGTGCCTGGAGTCCCCTGGCACTGTCCCTCCATTCAGTGTGAAACCATTTTTCATCAGCATAACACTAGATAAGGCTCCCTGGCCACCCACAGTCCAGCTCCTACCGGTGGTATGGCTAAGGCAGAGATTATACATTTCCTTCTAATCATTCCGATTCATACTGTGACTGGCTGCCAGCCAGAGCCAATCATTGCTAATGCTTCACTAGTCCAAGCAGAATAGACTCTTGTTTAGTATTAAATCATTAAATAAGGTCTAACATTGAAAGGAAGGACAGCACCAGGTGACTCTGGACCCCATAAGCACTTTGATAAGATGAAGAAGTTGCACTGTCTAATGGGCCGATTGTTCTTGCATCACAGATTTCCAGTTTAGTGGATAACTCTACTTGTGTTTCAGCTAGACTGAGACAAATGACTTGGACATGGTTAAGACAATTGTTCTAGTGAAAATTTGATATTTGCTGACAGTGCCTTGTATTGTTTCACATTAAAACATGTTATGTTATTTATAATTAATGACAAGAAAACAAGTTTTGTATTACTTTTCCATGAAAAAACAAATCACCTTTAGTGTTCTACTACTAATTGTTGAAATATGCTCTTGCTGGCTGGTTGACCTTTGACAATGACTTATATTTCACTTAATCTTGGCTTAAAATAATTTTACATTGTACAAAACCTAATAATCAGAGCATCAACAACACAATGTTCAATAATGTATCTGGCATAAAAGAAAAGTCAAGAACAACTCAAATGACTGACTAAGTCCAATGTCCAGACCGTAACCTCATAGAACCAGTAAAGGATGAAGGTGTAGAGGCAAGTTCAAAGTTGTCAAGTTTCTGGAATAACCCTGAGTATTCCCGGTTATTATTTTGCGGACGCATGACAAACTACCGAACTAGATACAATATTGATGGAATGTCGTGTACGATGCGTTATGATGATATAAGGCAGTTTGTCATGTTGGTTGTTCTTGGCGTGCTTCGGTAAAGAACATCAAATTGATCACCAATCAGTATCAGTTACTAGACTTGAACATTCAGATTCATCCACATTTTGGACAATTGTGTTTTTCCCTCTATTGGTTACTTTTTCTCATTTAATCTGTGAACCAAAAGGTGGGAAAATGTGCCTATCGGAGTACTGCAACATATTTGTACATAATATTATATATTATACACAGGTTGGCCAATTTCCTCACCCTCTTTTGTTCGGCCAAATACTTTTTCTAAATATTTTCCATGAACAATGTTTGAATGAACTAATGTCAGAGGTCACAAACTAAATTTAAATTTCGTGAACTTTGGTTTGGCCGAGCACCAGTCTATTAGTAATGGAGCAGCTTTAAAGTCATCTTGAGTTATCCTTAAATTCTAAATTAATGATAGAATGCACCTGCATATCTGATAAAGCACAGCTAGCTCTTTTACCATGAGGAGATTAGTATTAACATTAACATTCTACTTTGTATTTGATGTAAAAGCATTTAAAACGAACATGAAGTGTAATTAGTCATTTATAAGAAAGGAAAAACTCACACAAAAGCCAGAACTACATGGTCATAAAGGTGTAAGACTTATTGAAGTGACTAATGCTAAGACACAAAAGGACAAAGCATTGTGGGCTACAAGGAACATTTACATTTGTGACAAAGACCTGACATTGGCTTTCTGTCTCGCCAAGTTTCTGCATGACCAACATATAGCACCAACTTACATTGCAGGTTCAACGTATAGTGCCTATTCACATTGCAGGTTCAACGTATAATGCTGTTACGGTACCTCCAGTAATGAAATGTACAAACCGCCGTTTAGCGAGTATTCCCTGTTCGCAATAATGTGGTCGGGTAGCGGGTATAGTAAAACCATGCGAACCGCCAGCCAGGGAACACTCCAAACTCCCGAACGGTACCTGTACGGCTAATTCCCTTCACGAGCTGCAAATCCACGAACGGCAAATAGTAACCGAACGTCAATATCTCCCAAGCGGCAAATAATCCAAATAAGCAGTCTCTAGTCGCTGGTAACCAAATCCCCCCAATAACGAGACCAAGCTCCGCTTTGAGGGTAAAACACGAACTGATTTACTGTGGGCTACCTGCCCGGTATTTATGCAGGTCTCCCACTTGGTGGACACTCCCCTAGGGGACCAAATGGGAGACTGAAATCACAGAAGGACATTGGGACATTTTGGACATACATCCCCACAATA